AAATAAATTTTAAAAATCAACTTTTTTTATTTTACTGTAATCATCAGGTCACATGGCAGCAACTGAGTGAATTAGACATGGACAAGATGAAAAGTTGGGGGTGAAAAGGTGATTTAAGTGCATGGTTGTTGGTGTCAGACGGACTGGTCTGAGTACTTCAGACTGCTGATCTACTGGGATTTTCCTGCATATCTATCATTAGGGTTAATAGAGAATGGTAAAACTAAGAAAAAAAAAACAATCAGCTGCAGTTCTCTGGGTGAAAATGACTTGTTGATGTCCGAGGTCAGACTTTTTGATAGAAAAACAACAGTAACTCCACTCTTTACAACAAAGGTATGCAAGAGAGCATCCATCAAACCTTGAAGGAGATGGGCTACGGCAGCAGAACACTACACCAGGTGCCAATAACAGGAAACTTTGGCTAAAAGATTTGGACAGTAGAAGATTGGGCTCATTAGTACCAAGTGATCATCATTTAAACAGCCAAGGTCTCTCTGGGTGATTTTGCTGACCCATCTTCTGATGGCTGCTTCCAGCGGGGAAAAAACAGGCCATGTCACAAAGTTCAGAACATCTCAAACAGCTTTCTTGAATGCTCATTGTTCTGTCTACCTCGTCTCACACACAACCAGTTGGGAAAGATGGCCGCCCCCCTGAGCCTGGTTCTCCCGAAGCTTTCTTCCTTTCAAAAGGGAGTTTTTCCTCCACACTATCGCCAAGTGCTTGTTCAATAGGGAATCATCTAATTGTTGGGTTTTTCTCTATGTTATTGTAAGGTCAATAAGGGACTGCTGTTTATGAATTGGCGCTATATAAATAAAACTGAATTGAATCGAACTAAATTTTACTCGATGCCCTCCACAGTTACCAGATCTCAATCCAATAGAGCACCTATGGGATGTCGTGGAACGGGAGGTTTGCATCATGGATGCACGGAAGACAAATCTACAGCAACAGAGACCAAAATCTCTGAGGAATATTTCTGGCAACTTGTTGAATCGAAGTCTCAAACAGTTAAGGCAGTTCTGAAGCTAAATAGGGGTCCGACCCAGTACAGCTTTACCGAATGAAGTAGCCCAAAGTGTATTTACCTAAACTAATTAATGCATTATTATCTCTTATAAGTAAAGAGATAAATAAACAATGAAGTGACTAAACCAATGTGAACAGATGCCACTGATATATGGTGTACTCACTCTGTGCACAGAAAATCATGACCCTGAAATAGAGCACCAGACTGCAGTGACTCAATCAGACCCGAACAAACTGGGTGCCAGTCCCTGCATACCAATGCATTCACATAAACACAAATACAGTTAATGCAGCAGACGCATATTTCAGTCTCTCTTATACACGCACACACACACATGCACACACACATATTTCCGCTCACTTCATGTGTAATGTAATCACCTAGGCTCTCCATGCCTGCTAACCCAATAAAGCTGACAGTCTCCAACACACACAGTTACATACACACAAACAAACACACACATGCTCCAGAATACATTCAACTCTCTCTTGGTTTCTTCTCCTTTCCGCCTCAGTTTTTCTGCCACTAACCGTCCGACTTACAGGAACTGTTTCAGTTACAAACTTCAGCCTCTGACTGAGCTCTTATTTGTTAGCAGCTAAGCTTCAAGTCACTTTATCCACTGACCCATTTCTGCTGAACAGCTCAGAGTTTGGGGCTGACTCGAGCCGGTCCGAGGTGCCAAAACGAAGCGTCTGGGGGAGAGAGAGTTGGATCGACGGGGCTGACAGAGAAAACAGACACAGAGCGTGCTCTTTCTTACATTATTAACAACGCTCACACGAGAGGACAAAGAGAGTGGAAGATTGGTCGAACATATTAATGCTGCACGGGAGACTCGTTTGTACCCGTGTGTACTGTCTGCTGTTTGTTCGGGTCTGCCCGGTTGTTGCGGAGGGTGACCAGGCGCGGCGGCCATAACCGCTCCTCCGAGCGCCATCTGCTCCACGCTGCAGCAACTGTTGCCAGGGTACCTGCTCTCCTCTCCTCCCCTCCAGCCCACCTTTTACTCCTCCTCCTCTTTTGGCTCATCACCTCCATCGCATCCTCTCGATTTTTCTCCCCAAACAAGATCTACGCTCAAATCCTCCTCCTGTGGTTGTCCTTCTGCTCTCATGCCTCGTTTCTCTCCACACACATGCTCTTTTCTCTTCCCTCCAATTAATTTAATTTGCCTTTTCATTCTGAAGAGGATACCTGCTTTTGATTTAATGAGCTTTATTGGCGTGAGATTTAATTCTTTGTATATTAGCGACGCTCCAGTGAAGTATTAACAGCGCTGAAATAGTACTAATTCTAATTCATTTACTGTGTTTCCATTATTTTACTCTTCGTGTCTGTCTTCTCCGTGTGTCTTTATTTAACTAGAAGATGTGTCGGAGCTGTGCTTTCTTTAGGAAGATGCCACTGTGCTGCTTTTTCACCACCTCCAGGAAAATCTTTAAGACTTTTTCCTCTCCTCTTTCCTCTCTAACCCGTCTTTCTTCCGTTTTTTCACTCCTTTGCAGTTGTGTGGACATGACTCAGGGCCCCTTCTCTTCAGAGAAGAGATGGAACCAAAGAAAGAGTCGAGAAAAGAGGACTTTGATGGGGCGGGGGGTGTTTAGAGAGAAGGAAAGAAAAGTGGTAGAGTGAGAGAGGGAGAGATCGTAGATCAGAGCCGTCATGATTGAGCCATCTGCTGAGAGGAGGCCGGTGAGACCCGCACACACACGCCTGTGCTTAAAGATCACCACTGCCACCCGCTGGTCATTTCCCAACACTACAGCTCGCCGTCCTTCCCCACTCTCGTGCATCGTCTAACTGCTGCGCTGCCATCCGGGCACAAACATGCCATCCGAAGATGAGACACGTAGCTCTGAACATCGATCAGTCTGGTCTGGCTGTCTGGTGAGCCAGTCCTAAGCAGCCGATTCTGTTTGCTCCACAGGGCTTTTTGTGCTCTAATATATGAGGTTTATCTACACGTAACTCCTTTCTAAGAAGAGCCGAGCCTCAATGCGGATTATGAGGCTTTGGCTCTTTCAAAACATATTGAGTATACTGGTGTGTTACTGACGCGAGCCAGCGCTGTGATTTGGTGCTGTAATCCCGCGTTCGCTGTTTCATTCTTGCCCTGCAGTTAAATGTGATTTGTTGTACACTCTTTGTTCCTGTGTGCTGGTGCATTTTTATGCGAGCAAACACTCTTTACTGGTCTGAATCATTCTTTCCTCTCCTCTCAGTCCTCCCCCTTTCTTTTGCTGGCAGGCCTAAACAATGTCCACTCTCGTTCAGCTGTCTAACCTTTAATAGATCCATAAACACTCCACTCCCATTGGCCAGAGCAGGCCATTTCATCCTATTAGAGATTAGCATACGCCTGAGTGGAGGAGGAAGTGCTCTTTATATGCTAATGAGGAGATAATGTATGCAGCACAGCGAGGACAAGCCGGTGCCCCCGTTGGGAGGACTCAGGGTGGCCCAGCGTGCTGAATCTTGAGGCAGTCTTGTCTTTATCTTGTTTTTCACTGTCATTCACAGACAGCTGGACTGTGTCTTTGTGAGTTAAAATACATCACAAGGCTCGACTGCAGCGTTATGCCAAAAAAGGACCATGCAAAGCCGGCAGTCTAAATGCCTCCATCTCTGATAGTGTATAAAATATGCCTTCCTTATGTATCTGATCTTATTGTGTGGCATTCACTTGTGATAAAGAGCGATAACAATGACTCGGTGGAGAGGAGATTTTCAGAGTCTGAAATGGTTTTGTTAGATGCCGAGAAGCTCCTTTTTGTTTGGTTTTACGCCTTTAACCGAGCATACATGATTAAAAATGGCTTCAGTGGAATATTTAAACATCTTGGAAAATACATATACTTTGCTTTCTTGCAAAGAGAGTGTTAGCACTCAGAGTTTTGACCTGTATGGTTTACAATTACACCTTCGCGTGTATTCTTTTGACTCACTTGGCATTGCTAAAGAGAAATTCTTAACAGAAAAACTCTAAGAGTTTGTTTACCATGTGGCTAAATGCTACCTAGCTATACAGCATGTAGTGATTCACTGGTGACCTCGTGGAAGTTCTTTCTTTGCCTTCCCGTCATCGAGTTTCGTGTAATTTCTCCTGATATACTGACAGACAAATAGACAACATACATACAAGCTGGTTAGGAATAATATTATTGCAGCTGTAGCTTTATAGAGCTTTAGGGGGCGATCGTGGCTCAAGAGTTGGGCGTTCGCCTTGTAATCGGAAGGTTGCCGGTTCGAGCCCCGGCTTGGACAGTCTCGGTCGTTGTGTCCTTGGGCAAGACACTTCACCCGTTGCCTACTGGTGGTGGTCAGAGGGCCCGGTGGCGCCAGTGTCCGGCAGCCTCGCCTCTGTCAGTGCGCCCCAAGGTGGCTGTGGCTACAATGTAGCTGCCATCACCAGTGTGTGGATGACTGGATATGTAAAGCGCTTTGGGGTCCTTAGGGACTAGTAAAGCGCTATATAAATACAGGCCATTTATAGATGCTAGTTGGCTGATTTTTTTTTTAGCTTTTCACACAGAAGGTGGAGCTACAGCCTACTGTTTCCTGTCTTTATTCTATAGACTGTATATAAAAAGTTGCCATAGCTTCTGGATATGAGAAGGTTTATGATGCAGAACCATCATCAACCTGCATTCTTTCTAATGGTCAGCAGGGGTCAAGTCCTCTGACTACCCACTTTACTCTGTGACCTCATTAAATTCATTGTATTTTGTTAATTGTTGTCATTATTAAACTCAAGAAGGGTGACAGAGAAGGGCTTGCTTTAGGGAGGAGCCAACTGATGATGACATCATAGTGGCTACCTTCACCTCTTATATACAGTCCATGCTTTATCCTAGGCTAAGCCATCTGGCTGCTAGCGTCATATTTAAATGACAGCTGTGCAAGTGTGCTGTGATGTCTTATTAGCGATAGTCCACCTGACCTGCTGCCTTCTTCTTTCTAGGAGCAAGGTGTGGTGGGGATGTCACGACCACCTGGCGCCATACCACCTCCTCACCCCGCTGGCGGCGTTGCCTCTGGGGTGGGCCCCAACCAGGGATCAGGTCCGCCTCCGGTCTACCGGCAGGACGTGATGAAGCAGATGATGGTGATGGAGCAGGAGAAGAGGGCGCAGATGCACATGATGGAGCAGCAGAAACAGCAGCTCTTAAGAGAGCAGAGACAGCAGCAGCAACTCTTGGCTGAACAGGTGAGTTTATGTTCATGTCATTCAGTGGGGTGATGATTAAACAGGAAGGAAGGCCTCTGTGACTCATCTGTCACCCATTAAATTATCATTTGTGCGTGTGCGTGTGTGTGTTTGCCTTGTTTGTTCATACATCCATGTAGATTTGTCAGCATCTTCAGCTCAAACAAGAGCAGCTCATCCTCTCTTCTTCCTTACTGTTGTCTGGTTGCATGTATAATTACCCTCAACCAGCCCCCTCTTCACTACTTCCTTTTCATCTCTTCAGTGTGTGTCTGTGTGTGTGTAGATGTGTTTTTGTCACATGCCGCCTGCTGTGATAATATGGTGTTTTCTTTTTATTTCTCTCTCTGTGAGGGAATCAAGTGTTAAAAGAGTTCTGAACTCTGAAGTCACCACCCACTACGAAGGGTTTTAATTGGATCTGCAAAAACATACACAGACACGCAAATATGGGTGCCCAAAAGGAACGCCATCCTGCTGGGATTTAGTGTATGTTGTTAACCGAGTATAAAATGAGCAACCTGTCCATGCATACATTCAGGACCCGCTTTAAAATGTGCTTATTAATGACCAGACCTTTCAGGTTTCTCTTTATACCTGCAGAACAAACTGTGGCTACGTCATTACACTAATCAGTTATGATGCTGTTAATGCAAACGAGCGTCACACAGGTTATGTACGCAAATCTAATCCCGTCAGCACGCATCTTCCTCTCTTCTTCTCTACCAAAACATCTGTTTTAGTACAGTTATACCCAACATCTGCCTAAACCCAACAGTAAAAACATCTGCCTAAATTCAATTACAGCAACATCTGTCCTAACTCAGCTGTATCAGCATCTGTCTTAACTCAACCAACATCTGTCTCAGCTCAGCTGTATCAGCATCTGTCAGAACCTGTCTTGACTCAGCTGTGCCAACATCTGCCTGAACTGGCTGTACCAACATCTATTTTAACTCCACTGTATCAGGTGGCCAACATATAACAAACTCTAGCAACACCTGTCTTAACTTCATTATACCAGCATCTGTGTTAATGCAATTATATCATCCATCTTAACTCAATTGTACCAGTGCCTGTCTTAACTCAGCTGTACCAACATCTGGCTAAACTCAGCTGTAACAACATCTGTCTTAATGCAATTATACCATCTATCTTAACTCAGTTATACCAACATCTGTCTGAACTCAACTGTTCTGATATCTTCTTCTGCTGTCCCCAATGCTGTTTACCCAACACATCTTCCCAAAGCACCAAATCACAAAAGCAGTTGCCTTAAGAGGCTTTATGTTGTAAGGTAAAGACCCTACAATAATGAGGCGAAAACCCCAACAATCAAAGGACCTTTGAGCAAGCACTTGGCGACAGTGGGAAGGAAAAACTTCCTTTTAATGGGAAGAAACCTAGGATCAGGGAGGGGCGGCCTCTCTCAGGTAGAGGCGGCCTCTCCTGAGCCTGGGTGACTTTGTTTAGGATGAGGGGAGGAAGAGAGGACAAAGACCTTAGTGCAGCATTCGATACTGTCAACCATAATATCCTATTAGAGCGATTAGAAGGTATTACAGGTACTGCGCTGCAGTGGTTTGTATCATATCTATCTAATAGACTCCAGTTTGTGCATGTAAATGGAGAGTCCTCTTCACACACTGAGGTTAATTATGGAGTTCCACAGGGTTCAGTGCTAGGACCAATTCTGTTTACATTATACATGCTTCCCTTAGGCAGTATCATTAGAAGACATAGCATACATTTTCACTGCTATGCAGATGACACCCAGCTCTATCTGTCCATGAAGCCAGATGACACACACCAATGAGTTAAACTGCAGGAATGTCTTAAAGACATAAAGACCTGGATGGCCGCTAACTTTCTGCTTCTTAATTCAGATCAAACTGAGGTTATTGTACTCGGCCCTGAAAAGCCTAGAAATATGGTATCTAACCAGATTCTTACTCTGGATGGCATTACCTCGGCCTCCAGTAACGCTGTGAGGAACCTTGGAGACATTTTTGACCAGGACATGTCCTTCAATGCACATATTAAACAAATATGTAAGACTGCGTTCTTCCATTTGCGCAACATCTCTAAAATTAGAAATATCCTGTCTCAGAGTGACGCTGAAAAACTAGTTCATGCATTTATTACTTCCAGGCTGGACGACTGTAATTCATTATTATCAGGATGTCCAAAAAACTCCCTGAAAAGCCTTCAGCTGATCCAAAATGCTGCAGCAAGAGTCCTGACAGGGACTAGAAAGAGAGAGCATATTTCTCCTGTTTTGGCTTCCCTTCATTGGCTTCCTGTTAAATCCAGAATTGAATTCAAAATCCTGCTCCTCACATACAAGGTCTTAAATAATCAGGCCCCATCTTATCTTAATGACCTTGTAGTACCATATCACCCTATTAGAGCACTTTGCTCTCGCTCTGCAGGCCTACTTGTTGTTCCTAGAGTATTTAAAAGTAGAATGGGAGGGAGAGCCTTCAGTTTTCAGGCCCCTCTTCTGTGGAACCAGCTTCCAGTTTGGATTCGGGAGACAGACACTATCTCTACTTTCAAGATTAGACTTAATACTTTCCTTTTTGCTAAAGCATATAATTAGGGCTGGACCAGGTGACCCTGAATCCTCCCTTAGTTATGCTACAATAGACGTAGGCAGGTTTTTCTTTTCCAGTCACCTTTCTCACTCACTATAATAGACCTCTCTGCATTGAATCATATCTGTTATTAACCTCTGTCTCTCTTCCACAGCATGTCTTTATCCTGTCTTCCTTCTCTCACCCCAACCGGTCGCAGCAGATGGCCCCGCCCCTCCCTGAGCCTGGTTCTGCTGGAAGTTTCTTCCTGTTAAAAGGGAGTTTTTCCTTCCCACTGTCGCCAAAGTGCTTGCTCATAGGGGGTCATATGATTGTTGGGTTTTTCTCTGTATCTATGAAGTGCCTTGAGGCGACTTATGTTGTGATTAGGCGCTATATAAATAAAATTGAATTGAATTGAAAGACACGCTGTGGAAGAGAACCAGAGATTAATATTAACTAATGATGAAATGCAGAGTAGGGCTGCAGCTTAAACAGATTATTTTGGTAGTTGACTAATCTGCCAATTTTCTTTGATTAGTCGTTTAGTCAATGATTACTTGTCTCTTATCTCCACTTCCTGTGGGCAAACTTCCTGTTCTAGGCTCCAGTGACTCACCTGCTTAAGTCTGCCCACCTGTGATTAGCACCCTTTTGTCTCGTCCCACAGCATATGAAAATAATGACCTAGGAAACACATGAATTTGAAAATAATCAAATGTATTTTTAACATTACATTAAAAATGAAATGAATAAAAATATTAGGTAAAACAAGTTAAAATGCTAGTATTTAAACAAAAAAATAACATGCAAATAGGAAACAAAAAATGGCTTCTGTCCATAAGTTTAAATAAAGCTTCAAATTAAATCAGAAAGATTTTGTGCCCTGATATTGCAGTATAAAAAAAAGAAAGTTTTAAGCCTAATCTTGAAAGTACAGAGGGTGTCTGTCTCAAATCCAAACTGGGAGCTGGTTCCACAGAGAGGGGGCCTGAAAGCTGAAGGCATTCTGCTTTTAAATGCTCGAGGAATGCTGCAGTCTCAGAGCGAAGTGCCTTGTTAGGGGGATATAGTAATATGAACTCTTTAAGATAAGATGGAGCCTGATTATTCGAGACCTTGTATGTGAGGTTGCCGCTGTTCCCAGCATCTATAGAACTTCATCAAACTTTAACTGTATCAGTATTGTGGAATATCGGTGCCTGATCTTGACAGTATGAACAACTGTCTCAAGTCTCACTGCCTCACTGTACCGGAACCCTTATTGTACCTGGACTTAACTAACATCTACTGTAACAAGCATCTGTCTGTTCTCAGCTACATCTGTCTCTACCTTAAAATCTCCTTCATCAAACATTTGTGTACCTACATCTTTATATTATTTACTTTTAGCTGTTATTGGCTCTTTAAGAGCAGGCATGGGTCCAGCTCATATGGCCATTAGAGGAAGTGCAGCTTTTAGCACTTTACCACATTGGCTTCAATCCGGCTATAGAGGAGCAAAAGAAAAGTTCTTCTGCTAAACTATTCGTACTGTCAAGTGTGATTCTGTTCTTCTGTGTATCTCACGCCCTAATGATACAAAATTCATGAAATAGGTGTGAGCAGCTGTAACACGCTTTCAGCACACTTGCTTAACAACTTCCATCTGTCTGTGTCTGCAGCTCCAGCAGCAGCAACATCTCCCCAGACAAATCGGCCAGGGCCAGAGGAATCCATATCCCCAAGTCAATCAGTACCAAGGTGAGACACATGAGCACGTGCGTTCATGTCACCTGTGCAGCAATGCACACACGGCATGCGCCTGCGCAAGAATGGCTGCACCCCACAAGATTTTCTCACACATTATTATTTATTGGAAAATTAGAAAATGGATTTAGCACCCAGATGGTTATGTGTGTGTGTGTGTGTGTGGGGGGTGGCTACAATTACACACGCATGTTTTGTCAGCAACAAGTATGGTATACATGGTGGCGCTCCAAGACATTTAGGGACGTAACAGATTTTGCAGTTCATTCGGTGCCATGTTCACAGACAGATATGTATGCAAACAACAGCACTGACCAAACATCACCCTGAAACCAAGCCTCGTCCTTTCTGTCTGTCTCTGTCAGATACATCAGTTGGCGCTCAGATGCTCTCCAGCCTCTCTCTCTCTCCTCCTCTCTCCGGGAAAAAAAATACAAAATAAAAAAATAAAAAATTCTGCTCTGCCTGTTACCACGGCAACTTGTCTGTCCTGGATCCCCCAGAGTTCCGGTGAAGTCGGAGAGATGGATGAGAGCAGGGGAAGTGGGAGAGAATGGGAGGAGGAGTGAGAGCGGGGTGGCTGGCAAGTAGAGGAAAAGGTAGATGGTTCGGTGGGTAGAAGGAGAGGTTGAACGGAGAGATGAGATGATGAAGAGACAAAGAAAATACAGAGGAAGCGACAGAGAGAGGAGGAGAATGAGGAAGAGAGTCAGGCTGAAAAACCATTTATAGCCATCAGTGTCTGCAAATGAAAGAGATAATATGGAGAGGAAGAGGAAGCTCCGGTGTGAAACTCCGGCCTACAGATATACACATTAACTCAGCTGTCCTGCAGTGTATCTGTGATTGTGCTCATATCACCTACAAATCTCACAGTCGATATATTTGTGATCTGTGAAGTATATAGACAGTTACCTGCAACTCTACTCACTTCCTACTTACTGGAGTGAGTGATCCTCTTCATTCTCGCTCCTCTGTTACATTTTCAGCCTGAGCTGTGAGGTGGGGGATTAGTGGAATGATGTCAGAAGGGAGTTTATTATAGGATTTAAAGCCATTTCCACGCTAGCAGACCTCCTCAGCTCAGCTACTTCTGAACATCTAATAGCAAAAAGTAGAGGAGTGAGATGCTTCAGTGTGTTTAGTTTTATTTTGGTGGGGTAGGATTTGGGCCAAATTGGATGGGAAGCATTCGTTTCCAGAGTAAAGGGGCTGTCCTGCAACATAAATCTTTGCCTCAGCAATGACTTATTAGAGCCGTCTTATGGCCTTTGGTTCATTTAAGTGGCTCTACTGTGTAAGCTCTCAGATTTTCCCCTACAACTATTTCCTCATCTGTTTGCTAACTCCTCTTATTTTCCACTCCTAGGTACCCCTCAGGCTCTCCAGACCATTCGGGCTACCCGCCTCCTGCAGCAGCCGCAAACTCAGCAGCAGATGGTCCAGATGAGTTCTGTTCAGGCCCAGGGTGGTTCTGTGGGACCCCAAACTGACATGGGACTACCCTACAGTAACCAGGGATCCAACCAGGGTTCCCTGTATGGGCTCAACCCCTCCATGAGCCAAATGATCCACCAGCAGCAGCACCAGAGCCAAAGCGTCCAAGCCTCCATGGGTCTTCCGCCACAGCACAACCCCACCGGAGGGCCACCCCGGCAGGCAGGTGCGGGTCCTGGAGTCGGAGGTATGCCTGGAGGACCCGGAGGTGGTGGAGCTGGAGGTTATGGAGGGCAAGGGATGTTAATGAACTCCATGTCCCAACAACCTCTTAAAGGACCTCCTAATGCCAAAGCTCAAACACAGAGACTGCAGAGCATGCTGGGAGGAGGCGGTGGGGGAATGGCAGCAAGTGGCTGGCCGCAGCAGCAAGGACAGAGTCTGCAGGCCATGGGGGGTGGAGTTGGAAGGACTACAGGAGGAGGGGGAGGAGATATGGTGGGGTTCAGCTCTGCCCAGGGTTATGGGATGCAGCCGGGTCAACCCCCACGCATGGCTAAACAACACTTTCAGGGCCCAGGACAAGGGATGGGCCAGGGGATGGACCCCAGGTTGGGCAACCCAGCTGCGGGTATGGCTGGCCCAATGATGGGCCCTCACATGGGTGGTCAACCAAGGACCAACCAACCCCGCCCTATGGTTATGAACCAGGGAATGAACCAGGGGGTGATGGGCCAGGGAATAACTGGGATGGGGGGTTTCGTGCCAGGCCCTGGGGGGCCAGGAATAGGGGCAAGTGGAGGTGGAGGAGGTGGATCTTACGGACCAGGGGCAGTCGGGGTTGGAGGTCAGCCGCAGGGCTACCAGAGGACAGCCAATCAGGACATGTCATCCTATGGATACGGGGGCGGGCCCTCAGGCGGAGGAGCCTTCGGATTGGGGGACGGCTCGGGGGCAGAGCTGGACTCAAGTGACGGTTGGATGGAGGAGTTTTTCTCGAGCTAATAGCCAACGGGGAAAGTTGTTACTGGATGAAATAAAAACGTTTAAAGTTGGACAAATTTTAAAATCTGAGAAAGTAAAACAAAAACGATAACATGACGTGGACTGGCATGTTTTTGTTTTGTAAAACATGAGCAAGATTATAAATGAGTTCCTGTGTTACGTTTTGTGCGTATGTATGTGTGTGTGTGATGGAGAGAGCTATCATTTTGTCTTGTGCATATTAATGAAAAACCAATATAGAGATTAAGAAGTGTGTTTCCTAATTTTCCCTTTTTTCTCTATGGAATAAATTTTCTTCAGTGTTTGAAAGCGAGGCCCATTCACGCAGCAGCGCTTTGAGCCCGAGCTTCAGCAGGGGCTGATTGGAAACTGTAGACTGATGAAGGGGAAGCAAGACTTGTTCTCAAGACAGCAATTTATTTGTGTTTGTGTGTTTGTGCCACCCTGATCAGCGCTTCAGATCTCTCAACTACGCGAGGAGCTGAAGGGAGTAGAAAGCACTCTCAACGCTCCCATTCCTCCTCTTAGATTTGAGCCCCCCCTCGTACAGACACACAAACACACACACTCACAAATCTGATTCCCTCACGCTCCTTCACTCTGTTCCTTTCACTTGATTTCCCTCTCATCCTCCATTCCTCTCTCCTCCCGTCTTTCCCACCCTCTCTCCAGAGACTCGTTCCTCGCTCTCAACGCTCCTTTCTCTGTTTAAACTGTGCACATCACAACAGAACAAATGATGCTACTCTATTGTGCCACGCAGGCTCGCTCTGCCCTCTAGTGCTTTTGCTAGGCAACCGACCTGAGTGGCATTTTTATTTAATTTTTTTAAAGGGGGGTTGTGGTTCATTTCCTGTGTTGTGTCGCTGTGGTTGCACATGTAGACAAAGACAAAGGCAGTAAAAAGCTGAGAAAAGGAGGAGAGATTAGGCAGCTAAAGCAAGCACACGTAGACAACAACAAACAGACAAACAAGCGTCAGCCCGGGAGGATGTGCAGATGTGTGAGAGGCAGCAAACAGAACTAATATTAGGCTACACATTAAACCTTCTGTCTGCGTGACACAAACCACATCGCATGCATCAGGCAGACAGAAACAATCGCTGGGCACTGAATGTATTCAAGCACCACAAGTGACTTCTTCTTCTTAAAGAGACGAGAAAAAAAGCTCATTGAAAAGCCGCCCGCGGTGTTTTATTTTGTCGCTGTGTTTTTCTTTTACAGTGAATCTGGTAGTTTGTCAATTACACACGGAAAAGAAAGTTTAAATTAGTTTTTGCTGAGCTTTGTTTCTTAGTTCGTCATCTTTTGAAAATCTGTTTGGTAAAAAATCTGTGGCTCAGCTTGTCGTCACTCACCGTAGCCCTGCTTTACATCGTGGCTTCTCTCAGCTGTAAAACGCCCTCGTTTCAAACTATAACTGTGCTATACTGTAACACTACTGTGAAGAAATTCAAGTCGGGCCCTTCTGGCGCTTTACAAGGAGAATGAACCACTGCTAAGCCTTGAGTTTGTTTTAAAGAGAGAGAGAGAAGCTTCAGATAGCCTTTAAGGGACAGCTCACCCCAAAGATAAAATTCTCATACTTTTCATCAGGTGTGCAGTTTTATTTGTCCTTCGTCCGGTCAGCTGCAGAGATTTCAGCCTTCACTTAAGTGTAATGGAAATAAATTGCATTGCAGAAATCATGATCTGGTTACTCAGAAAACATCCACAAACCATGTGCTTTACCAAACTACAGCCACCAACAACATCAA